TTCTGGATTTCCTCCGTATTTTGATCGAAGATTGCACCTGAAATAAATAATACTAATGTAACTCGGCTGGTTGTAGAAGTGCATATCTTACGTAACAAGATGATGATGGGCTAATATTAAATATTATGAAATCCGTTGATTCGTAATATTAATCAAAATCGTAAATAAAAAATCCGAAACATAGCGACGAGAATTTGTCAATGCACATGATTACATAATAATCCATTCCAGTAGGTAATTCGTAACATAAAAATGATAAATGTGTCTGTTATGCAGTTTTCCGTAAAATTTACTAAAGCAAGTTTTAATATGATGAACGTTGAGCTTCAAACAAAAGAAGAAAGTGTTATTTCAACTGAAAAGCACCTAAAACAAGCACGGGAACACTTCATTGGAGAACTTTATCGGTCATATAGTGAAAAAGCGAGCGAGCCCGTATTCTGGGGAGCGTCATCGGCTTGATATATGAATGCTGACCGGACGTTTATCTGAATCACTGAAACCGCATTCCACTGCTCGGAAGCTCCTTTAATACTCGCAGACCCACAAGACCGCCTTACTTCTGTGGTCGCGCACTATCGCTATGTCTTTTTTCACTTCGGTCGGTCGAACATTATGTCCTAAGAGCCATTTTGAGGCACCATTCTAGCAATATTTCTTCCATTTGCAACGTCATTTCTTTCTATATTACGTCGAAAATTTTCGCCGTTGATCTTTTTAGAGTGTGCTCAGAAGTTGTGGTTACAGTTTTTGTTTCCTCAAACGATTTAAGAGGTTGTGCATTTCTTTCAAGGGTTGGCTATTAGTAAATACGCAGAAAAAGGTTAATGACGCTTGTACAAACTAACAGTGTTTGGGTAAATATGAGATTTTCACCATCGCTAAAACCCAGTTGTTTTCGTATTGAGGATTTCCTTTTGTTCATTTCATTAACAAATTCGTCCTTCGTCGACTTTTTCTATTAAGTTTCCAATTCCCGATTCGTTTTAAAAGGTTTTGTTGTTACGCTTTTCAGAGAGAAAAAAATACACAAGATTATCTCGAATTAATTATATCAATATCTCGAGATAAATAATATTCTTGCTAACGAAAATTTGCTTGATATACTTACATAACTTACACTTAAATAGCAGAAGAATATCTTAAAAAAGGTAAATCTAAATTAAAAAAAAAGCTTCATAGATTCAATATAACTATTGAATTATGGAATATCCGACTATTTGGGGCAGAAAATACTTCTAGTGGCGTTAAAGTGAATTGAATGTTTAATACCTTACTATTGAATTATTGGAAAATCTTGTGACATTTTTATTGCACGGGAAAACGTTTATTCGCTTCCTGCTCCGTTCCTTGTCTGTCTTGTGTACAATATGTTTGTATTAATTTGAACTTCTTGAATAGAAAAATGATAGGATTTTTCGGGTGCTTATGGATTAGCGATAGGTATTATTTACAGATAGAGATAGTTTAGCCCTTGCGACAAGACGCCTAAATTGTGCCGTTTCAATATTTTGTTACTGATGATAGTAAAAAATCGAATTATTTGATGTCAGTGACGGTTAACATGCATCCTTTGTAGTAAAAAGTTAAAAGACGAAACAGCGGGCGCGAATCCGCAATAAGTTGCCATGGCAGCTATCTTCTATGGAAATATATTGTTAGTTGTCGCAAGAACGCGCCAGGCGCCACGGTTGTCAAATCGGAAGACGGCGCTGAGCCCCGCTATAGTTGGCAAAAGCCTTTTCTCCGTAAAAACAATTTCCTTGTCTCTCTAAAAATATATTATTATTTAGTTTGAGTATATTTTAATTCCGTGACATTAAAAAAATTACATCAAATAAAAATATCCGCCTTAAATTTTTTGGCAGTAATATTAAAACTAAAAACTACACGGTACAGAACGTGTACCTAAATATTTCCTCTGTTCCATAATAAAATTATTTCATTCAGGTATGTTATAACTTTAATTACCTGCCTGAGATTAAAAATATACGGGTACAAATAAAATATCCACCATAAAATTATTGCCAGAAATATGAGAACTAGAAAATGTACGTCACAGCAGAACGTGTACGTAAATATTTTACAATTTTCATTAATTAAATCGGACGCTACCTACACGAACAATTTTATGTCTCGTTTTCATCTCATTTACGTCCTATAATTTTGGGCTATTAGCCGAGCAGTACTTTTAGCTTTCACTTTTACATAAGAAAAATATTGAAACAAAGATAAATATTGTACGAAACTTCATGTTTCTGTAGGCTTGCAGATTTTTTTGAGCTAGCGTTTTTCGACTTTGATGGTACCTGCTATCTAAGCGTGAGTGGCACCATCTTACTTTAACTAGGTATACGTCAAAAACTCCATACAAAATCAATAGTTACGGTTCTGGTAAGGTGGTGCAACTCAGCTAAAATACAGCAAAAGAATGTAAAACATCTTTTGATCAACGAATGAAGAATGAAGAAAATATAAAATAATGTATAACTGTAAAAGTGTCTGGATAAGTTATCAGAGAGTCAGTTAAAGTTTAATTTTAGGAATTACTTACTTACCTAAATATTTTACATTTTAAAACTGCTACAGAAATCGAATTAAGGAGGCGCCTTATTGGGGAAAAACTGATAGGATCTAATAGTTCATTAGCAGTTACCGTTCTAGATTAAAAGGCCGCTCATTTTCAAGACCTAGCCATATCTAATAAGGGCCTAAGTGGCTCTCATAGTGTCGGAATACAATATAAGATCATTAACGCAGTAATTTGAACTTTCCAAAAGACGTAATAACAGAATAGATCCTTTGAAATTCCTGATTTTTTTGTACATAATGTTATCCTTTTTGTTTCATTATTATCTGTTTTTCTTTTTATTTTCACTGGAATTTAATTTTTAACTATCGTCCTTCCGTTATCAATAAAGAAATTTAAATAATTTGTTACAGATACCTACCAATTTTATAAACCTTAAAAAAATACAAAAGCTTTTGAATATAAATAGGTATTATAAAGTTTTGCGCTCCAGGAAATCAGTGTCCAAATTAATATGGCTATTGTATTTTTAAATAATTATGTATATAATAATGTATTAAATATTATTCTATGTTTAGTCATCTACCTCGAGTTCCGCAATGGAGGTAAGTCGATATTATACTTCGAACTCCTCCTATTCCCCTGATTAAATTCGTTGCGGGTTTCACGACATTGTCTCTAGGGAATCCTTCACTGCTTAGGTTTCATTGGCAGCTAAGCTGCAGACGCTTGCTATGGTTGAAGAGGTGGGAACAAGACGTGAGGATATTCTTTAGTCTGAGGCAAGTAAGCATGGGAATGAAACCCGCTGGAAATCGGTCTGTTACGTATGTCCTAGAATAAACATTTAGATAGTATCTAAAGTTTTTGAAAATGTCGGCTGCTACATATTAACCATTTCAGCAGAAACGGAACACTTCACACTGCGTAGAGAGAGACGCGTTTACCAATAGCAAATTTAAAAACGCAAAGGTAAATGTTGAAAAAAAGCCTAACACATTCTGCGAGTTAGCGCCATGAACTCGGAATCAAACAATTGATGATATTCAAACTAACAATTTAACGTTTTAAGAATAAAACTTTTATGACTGCGGTTTTACCAATATTTGGAATATTTTGTAGTTCTAAAAACGGTTTAACGGGACGGTTAAAGATAGCCGAACATCGAATAACTGGTACCCGAATATTTCCGGCGTTTACCCGTGGTCCCCCCAACATGTCCCCCTGGTGGGTCCACGGGTAATTTTTTTTACCCGTTGTCCCACCGTTCTGAACAGTTTTTGCCAGTCATGGGTCTACGGGTAATTTATTTTAACCATAGTCCCACCGCACAGTGGTAAACGTTGCATGTCACCTAGGTATAATTATAAAAAAATCTATAATTATTAATTANCAGCCAGGCCGGCCGGTCGAGCGTTGCCACACGTTGCCAGCTCTCCGCTCGACCAGCTCTCCCGCAAAATGTTTACGCGCTAAGCGCGGTAACCACACTACGTGATTAATTGGTTAGGAAAAAAATAGTTGATGTTAAAATTTGACCTACCTATTTTTTATTAAAAATGTCATCTATAAACGATACCTAATGTCAGGAAAAAATTTGGATACTGATACAAAAGTCACCCTGTATAATAGTCTATGCCAGCGGTTCCCAAACTTATTTTGTCTACTGCCCACTTTGAGAATAAATTCTTTTTAGCGCCCCCATTTGTAGTCGAGTGTCGAGTGCTCAGTCGGTGTCTAAGAGTAACTAGTAAATGACGCCTCCCAAGCCTGTACACAACGTCCCGATTTTTTTTTCTGGGTCCTTACCGCCCCCTTTAGCCTGCAGCGCCGACATGGGAGCGTTATCGCCCACTTTGGGAGAGACTGGTCTATGCAGATTAGGGTGGTCCTTATTCCTACGAAAAACGGGGCAACACGTAATTTGAATATATACCATATGAAAGTATTTCATTTTAATTTTTAAAAGACATTTATTGGTCGCTACCAAGGTTTAAATTTTAAGTAAAAACAAAATCTGTATTTGTTAGATTCATTTATTTTTAAAGCCAAAGCCAAATAAAAATATTACAAAATTATTGTTGTTGCTATGAACTAAGATAATATTATGTACAATGTACATTATTTGAATCAATTATTTTTAAGACATAGAGTAGAGTTTACTTGTGAGTATCTCGACGCGTCGGTACCATGGTCGGTATAGAAGAGGGGGAGAAGGGGACAAGAAGCGATTGTCTATACTATCTATGCGATGTTCATTTTCACGTAAAATGTGATATAAACACTTAAATAAAACATTTATTAAACCATGATTTAAGATTTTTAAAGCTTTTGTAAATATTTTGTCAGCTGGTAGCGACCTCTAAATCTTGACTAAAAAAAAACAAAAAAAGGTAATTTCATATTTAGAGGTATATAATCGAATGAGAAAGTGCCCCGGGGTTAATTCAAAAGACGAAAAATAAAGACCACCCTAATGCAGATAAAGAAATGTTGACTTTGACTTTGGTACCTCCTTGGCGATGGTGTCGAGCACGTACTCGCTGCGGCGGCGCATGAAGAAGTGCTGCGCCTGCTGGATGATCTGCTCCAGCAGCGACTGCTCGCGGCTCATCTCCAGCAGCTCGTGCCGGTCGGCCGCCATCGGGCCTGCGAGGGAAACAGTTAGGCCGGGTTCCCACTATGCCGGACCGGCATTTCTGCCGGAAACCGGACACCGGACAAGGGTGTTCACATTACGTTCGTTCGTTCGTTTCAGCCAAATGACGTCCACTGCTGGACAAAGGCCTCCCCCAAGGTTTTCCACAATGAACGGTCCTGCGCTGCCCGCATCCAGGCTCTTCCCGCGACCTTTACCAGATCGTCGGTCCACCTAGTAGGAAGCCTGCCCACGCTACGTTTTCCAGCCCGTGGTCGCCACTCGATAACTTTCCTCGCCCAACGGCCGTAGCTCGTAGAGACGTTCACATTACACCGGATCCGAAATCCGAGCCGAATGAAGTGCGGGGAGCACGGGCGGGGCGGGGCGGGAAGCACGGGCCCGGCGGGGTGGGCCGCGACTCGTTCACATTACCGGTCCGGTGATTTTGCCGGCATTTTGTAGCGACAAAACGCTCGGTAAAAATGCCGGGCTCGGCGAAAATGCCGGATCCGGGATAATGTGAACAGCTTCATACAATTTGTACCGCCGCTAGGCCTTCCGGCGATTTTACCGGACCGGAGATACCGGAGATCTGCCGGTCCGGCATAGTGAGAACCCGGCCTTAGGACCTACGCTAAAACCAGAGTAAATACAAATGAGTAGGTCATCTTCATAGAAACGCACCGAGCGCGGTTTGTATGTGAGCGCGCCGATGCGTATGCGGCGCGCACGCACAGACTGACAAAATTTAGCGTGGATTAGAGGGTTGCGCAGAATTTTGTCAGTGTGTGCGTGTGTGTTTCTATGAAGATGACGTACTCATTTGTATTTACTCTGCTAAAACTTGCGCAAGTGTACGCGGTTGACCACTCCGGAGTCCGGATGTTGGACGAGTAAAATTGCAATGCTCTTACAGGGACTATACGTTTAACTTACCTATTTTATAAGACTTTACTGAATGAATATAAATGTTTTTTTAAATGGCTACCGCTCAGCATGTGTCATGCTCTGAGGTATAGTCTGGTCCGTGAGCACGTAGAATTTTGTCCAATGACCCCTAGCTACCCATCCTTATCGCTCGCGCGTAATTATGTTGCTATCGCGCTCGCACACTCACTGCGGGCGCCCGTCGCACAGTCGCGACAGCAATATAATTACGCGCGAGCGACAAGAATGGGTAGCTAGGGGTCATTGGACAAAATTCTACGTGCTCACGGACCGGGCTTTAGACGAAGCGCATATGACGCGGATCTGCGATCACGGCGGGCACGATACTATTTCTCGAAACAGACGGGAAGCGGGAAGGGGCACTGGCGCATCTGATATGTCATGATACTGGGTGTGATCTAGCTCATGACAGTCCTAACCTTTCGTCTTCGATCGTTTTTTGGTAACCAAAAAATCCTGGGGGGCACCAAACCATTCTGGGGTGCCTTAGACCCCCGCTACATGCAGGGGGAGGGGTCAATCCGGGTTGGAGGGCCCGAGCGTGCCGGTGGCGGGGTGCGGGAAGGGGTGGTGCGTGTTGGCGTGGTGCCTGTGAGGCCACGGGTCGTACCGGCGAGGCAGCGGCGCTTGGAGGGCCCGAGCGGGCCGGTGGCGGGGTGCGGGAAGGGGTGGTGCGTGTTGGCGTGGTGCCTGTGAGGCCACGGGTCGTACCGGCGAGGCAGCGGCGCTTGGAGGGCCCGAGCGGGCCGGTGGCGGGGTGCGGGAAGGGGTGGTGCGTGTTGGCGTGGTGCCTGTGAGGCCACGGGTCGTACCGGCGAGGCAGCGGCGCTTGGAGGGCCCGAGCGGGCCGGTGGCGGGGTGCGGGAAGGGGTGGTGCGTGTTGGCGTGGTGTACGGCGCGCAGCAGTTGATGCAGCGAATGCTCCAGAACGTGGTCGTGGTCCGACTTGCCCGCCGCGCCTTCGGGCTGAGGAAAAACCAACATTATTACTACGTGGTAAAGTCCACTTTAGTGTAGCTCCACAAAAACTCCCGCAAACATGTCTCCACACGGGCGCACGACTCGAGCGTGCATTAGGCGGGTTTTAGATTCGCGCTAACCGCTCGCTGATCGTCGGCGCTGACAGATAAATGTGTATGTAATTGAAGGGAACGTTCCTGAGTGACGCTGATCGCTCGGCGCCGACGCTTCATACATTTCGGCTGTCAGCGCTGACGGTCAGCGTGACTCTAAAACCAGCCTTAATATGCGGGCACACTTGTCACTTGNAATAAGTCCACCCACAAGATGGACCGATGACCTTATAAAGATAGCGGGAAGGCGCTGTATGCAGGCCGTCACCAACCGGCCATTGTGGAAATCATTGGGGGAGGCCTATGTTCAACTGGACGTCTTATGGCTAAAATGATCATGATGATGATGATGAAAGCGAATAAAGGGCTAATAGCTTGGGTAGTTCATCGTAGGTATAATCCTTTCCTTTTCAAGGCTTCTTTTAGTTATATTAATAGATTGTCGTCATAGTACATACTCGTATACATGGATGATTGTGTGATACTTTCATTATAATACTTGTGGTATTACTGCTTTCAAAACGTGAATTAGAACTGGCCCCATAGCAGACATTTTCCTACATCTAAAGGCCTTTTGAAATTTATATTGGTTATGGCTATTGGAGCGGGTACCACTTTCCATACATTTGTGCCCATCATACTTTACTTTCAATTTTATTCCAAAAAGAAAATTTATTTTATTTTATTTTATTTCCAATTATTTTTTAATTAAACTTGATGTAAAAAAGAATAGACTTTCTATTTTATTTTATCGATTTTTTTCCAAGAATATGAGGTGACATGCAACGTTTACCACTGTGCGGTGGGACTATGGTTAAAATAAATTACCCGTAGACCCACTGGCAAAAACTGTTCAGAACGGTGGGACAACGGGTAAAAAAAATTACCCGTGGACCCACCAGGGGGACATCTTGGGGGGACCACGGGTAAACGCCGAATATTTCCACGTCAGCTCAATTATTCTGTACATAGTTCAGATTTCCTATTTGTGACGACTTAATTAAATTCTTACAAAATGGAGAATAAGTATCACATTGTGTTGTTTTTTTGACATATTTTATAGTTAAGAACTCAAGAAGCAGTCAGTGTTGATACTCTAGCTGCGAATGTACAGCGAAATACGTTGTTCTATTCAGTGGAATATACGACACTTTGAGTTTCGAAAGCTCCGGGCGGTTCGCAAATGTATGCTCAAACGGTTGACTATAAGTATGCTCCAGCAACCACAGTTAGTTGACCTATCACTAAAATAAATGCTCGAGGTGCCTGTGTAGGTCAACCCTTACACCGATACTCATCGTGTCTCCAGTTTTGAATGAAGGGTAAATTCATTTTTTAATTTACCATGTTTGTCGGTACGGCACGACACGGCTACTTGTCGGCACGGCTCAGTGAGGCGTGAACATTAACGAACGGAGTTTTACGCCCGTTTTGCCATCGTAGGTACTTCACGAACGAAATAATTTTCATTAAAAAGTTATAAAGAGCATGTGATCATGCCATATTTGCGGTTAAATTAATAATTTTACGGGCAAAAAGGCTGTTTGCGTTTTATGTGAATAATTTGATACAATGTTGATTTTGTTAAAATATCCGTATTACTCAAGCAGCTATCTGTAGATAAGGAGAATATTGTACGAGTATGATGGTTAGTATAGGAACTAATGTTAAGTATTACAAGGTTTATTTAAAAAATAATCAATTTAAAAATGACTCTCCCATTAGAGGTTGATTTTTATACTTCTTTACTGTTCACAAATTTCTCGCGGTAAAAGCTGGCTGCCAGCCAGCAGCTCACATTCGAATTCTTCACGTAATTACATTTTATGTCACATAAATAAGTTGAAAGTTGAAATGTTAAAATCCTCATTGCAAGGAGCGGTCACGTACCAGCTCTCCGTAATAATTGTACAAGCCGTAATAATTCCCAACGATCCTCTTAGGTTCAGGTTTCATATTCGTGTGTGGTAAATGTGTTATTCACATGACTAAACGTAGTCAGTCAAAAGTCAAATTAAGGGTTTAATTTTCATGGAAACCAAACAAGTTGCAACACTTGCAACGTTAGATAATTGTAATGTTTAGTTAGATAACTATGAACAAGTATTCAAATTTGTCTAAAGGAATTCACCTATATACTAGGTGTTTGGATAATGGTGATGGGTGTTTTCCTTTAATAACAAATTATCACATGTTAGCATAATATTATATCGAAGTGACAATCATTACCTTTGAGGTTAATAACTTCAGCTACAAATATCAAAGGAGAAAATTGTTAAATTTTGTTATGTAAGGGTAACTCATAATTTCTAAACTGACTATAATTTCTTAATTTCAACAAAAACAAATACTTGAATGAATAAGATATTCATCTAATGTCGATACATTTTGTTACCCAAATTGCCTCTAAGCCAGTTTTTGAAGCTATATTTTAATTACGATTCTGCGTCGTTAGACTGGCAAAAGAAAGAAGTCCAATTTGAGTGCCTTTCAGTTTCATGCACTATCTTCCAAACATTCAGTATAAGTTTATCAACCGTATTTTTGGCTTGCTTTTACAAACTTCACTGCGACGTGCAAAATTCTCAGTTGGAGTACATAAATTTGAGTTTTTTCAAGTCCTTTTGTCCGAGCAATGCCTAGTGCTAGCGCAGGTGTAACCTGGTCTACGGGAGCATGAAACGAACTATTTCAGGCAGGCAATTAAGCTAACTTTCGCCAAATAGTGCGTCAGAGTATAAAGTGGCACCCGTTGGTACTGCAGAAACGTAATTTTACTTTCTTATTTGCCCCCGAAACTCTTTCGATTGAGCGTGGTATAAAAGAAAAGATGATACGAGTGCATTTATTTCCGGTCTCGTTTTAAAAAATTTAGAAGTTCTCGTTTTAGAAGTTTTTAAGAACGATTAAAATTCAGTCCGTGTAGGTACATTTACTAGTTAAATATAAAAATGTTAAATAAATATTTAAAACAAAATGTATTTGATGATATCAAGTAAACATGAGAAACTAGTTATAATTAGTTTCGTGTTATGCATAGTTTCGGACAGTAAATAGTTTGTCTTGTCTATGTCAAATGTACCAACAAAGATCATTTTAAAAAACTAATTGGACAACAAAACTATAGGTAAGGTTAGGTTAGACTTGCGACCTTACACAGCGTGAAGGCGAGCGAGCGCAGCGAACGAAGCGAACGTGCCGCAGCAGCGGACGCCGAGCGCTAAGTCTAGAATCACGTGCGTAAATAGCAGTTGAATGGCATTAAAAACTACGCAACATAACCTCAAAATTTCTTTTTTAGTTTTTTTTTAAACTGTAAGTTTCCGATCTCCACCATTCACAGAGGGGGTTCCCCTAGCCCCCCTCTCTCCCTCCTCACCCCTACAACCCTTAATATTATTGTAAAGTTTCAAGTAGCTAGGATAGGCTGGGTCCCTGAAACTTGGATCATCTGGCCCATATAGTTATGTATATTTTTCATGAGAAAGGTGATTTTGTCGATATAAAGGTGTACACATATTTATGACAAGGCAGGCTGGACTATTGGCTGATGGCAACGCTAGTTTACTAGATCGAATCACGCTACAGACTAGTTGGTGTGTGTGATCGGTACGTTTCACCGAATCGACGTTTATAACGTAGTACCTACTGCTATGCGAGGATACACAACGAGACCGCGAAAAGCACCTACATGCGGACTGCATAGGATCGGTCGTTGTGAAAATCCTTTGTCCAGAACTGGATACCCTCTGATTGAAAGGAACGAACAAAGGGCAGTATTCCTTGAAAACCAAGATCTCTTCACAAGGTGTGCGAACTAAGAAACTTTTCTGCATCTAAGATTTGGTTTTCTAATTTTCAATTTCCTTACCTTGTATATGAAAACTGGAAGGTATTTCGTTTAATGGATCGTTTCGTTAGCTACAAAATAGAAGCTATTAGCCTTCTGCACAGAGAAATTACTAATACATTTTCCATTTAGACTACTTACACAACGGCAGGAATATATTTGATGCAGCCCAGGCATTTGAAATCTAAGCAAACATTTTATCCAAACTTGGCATAACGAGTATTCTCCTTTGTTAAGATTTTAAGATTAAGCATAATTAATTTACTCGGAATCAACTACAAATTTATGTTGCATTAGACATAAATTAAATATGAATTGTATGAATTATGTATTAAAATATGGATAAAATGTATAAATGAAACGACTTTTTTCCAGCTGTCAAAGTGAAGCGAAGTGAAGTGTTAATATTAAAATACACCTTCTTCACTTCAAAACAAAAACAATACTGAAAAATACATAGAAAAAATATAATAAAGGAAAATCTAATTTACTAAAAGGAAATAAAAATATAAAATAATTTTACAAATTAGGTCTGTCGCTAACAATAAGAAATAATAAGAATAAAAAGAAATTTCCTTCAAATGACATTGGGAACTTTTTGCCCCACTTTTCGAAAAGTAGCGGACAAACGAAACCTATCACAGATGATACATACTAATATCCAATGAATTTCCGTGCATTTTTTTTCTCTCTCTTATATGGGAATATTGAGAAAATGAAGTTTTAATATTTTATTTTATTTTACATTTAGGTAACATTTTTGACGACCTCCGTGGCGGAGAGGTGCACACACCGGTTTTCAAGGTGTGCCGGGCCAATCCTGAGGTCCCGGGTTCGATTCCCGGTCGGGACAATATAGAAAACGATCTTTTCACATTGTCTCTGGTTTGGGTGTGTTGTGGTTCGTCGTTCCCGATTTCCATAACACAAATGCCTTAGCTACTTATTTTGGGTTGGAGTAATATATGAGATGTTGTCTAGTATTAATTTAAGTATTTATAATATTTTATTTATTTATATTATTTTATTTATATTTTTTGTTTATTTATATTATTTTATTTACTTTTATTGGTTACTCTGCAATGCCAAACAACATAACATGTAAAAAAGTAAAAATATCAAATCATTTTAGACAAATATATTTTCAACTTAGACTCGTCATATCTCAGAATTCCCATATCTCACAACATAGCGCTTTAAGTGAATATACCTACAAGTATAAAGCTTTGAAATAAAATACGTTTCATTTTTGTCCGCCGTGGGGCATTTTCTCATATTAAAGTTCCCAATGTCCTTTAATAAATTAATGTACAACATAATAAGAACAAAATAAAATTTCCTATAAGCAGTTCAATTGAAAATAAATAATATTATTTTAGATTCTTTTAGTTTCTGTGTCTTCGTACTCGAGTCAACCGGTCCCTTCCACGCTTTTGAAAATGGAATTTACATTTTTGCAGAAATCTTTTTTTTTTTAAATATAAATGACGTAGTTTAGAAAACAATCGGCTCATTCATAACTTATTTTTTAAAACCTTAAGTTATTATTTCTTTTTTTTCCGGGTTTGTTTAGTGTCTTTAAATATCACGTTAATGTTTTTAAATAATTATGTCAGCAATATAACTCGTTAGGCTTGACTTCCTCGACGTAATTACATAGTTCAAAAATAAGGTATAATTAATGATTGTTCATTACCTTATACACTCTTATTCTTGGCACTAAACTCGCGTATATTAAATTAAGTTTATTATTTTTATATTGCTTTCATTACAACAAGCATTAATAGCTAACTAAAGCGTGTGCTTGAATCCAACCAGTTCGAATAGTTTCCATCAATGAAATGGTTGGGAACTTTATTGCATTATTCGCGTTAGTTGTAAAACCTTTGACTAAAATTAAAACCTAATGATTCTACATATTTATATTTTAAATAATACAAAAGTTTATGCATCCAAAAGCTTATCATTTCTCATTTCAATCATTAAAACTTATCATTTCTCATTTCAATAATTATTATACTTCATTATCTTTGTCACTCAAAGGCGTTCCCCTTGATTTTCCACAAGATCAGTCCATTACGGTATGCGCCCATGGCTACTTTATTCATGTCCGTTTATCGGTCTGCTAGACGCGACACGCAAGTTCGCTAGAGAGAACAAAAGGCGATTACAATTAACATCTGAAATTTTGCATATTACCTACTTTAGTGAAAAAAATACCTATTAATATATTAGTATGTTTGCTATTTATGGAGTTCCTATTCAATATTTCAAATTCGTACTATGTCATAAGACTAATGTCACCAAGTTCATTAAGTTTCAGTCAAATGACGTCCACTGCTGGACAAAGGCCTCCCCCAAGGTTTTCCATAATTAACGGTCCTGCGCTGCCCGCATCCAGGCTCTTCCCGCGACCTTTGCCAGATCGTCGGTCCACCTAATAGGAGGCATGCCCACGCTACGTCTTCCAGCCCGTGGTCGCCACTCGAGAACTTTCCTGCCCCAACGGCCATCGTCTCTACGAGCTATGTGCCCCGCCCACTGCCACTTGATTTTAGCAAGTTACTAAGTTACTACTTCGGCACATCACTTAAGAGCCTAAAGACGAGAGATTTCATATAGTCATAATCCTCTAAATAGCTTCATCCCTATGTAGATTATGTTGCCTTAAAAACTACATACTCCTCAATAAAGTAAATTAGCAAACTTTTAAAACTGACGTTCAAGATTCGCCAACATAGTTAATAAAAGCGTATTAATAAGGTAAAGTTGAGAGCCGCATTGTTCAGCTAAAGAGTAAATATGAAATTCTAAGGAGCGTAGTGTAGAGAGTGCTCCTATAGGCGTACTTACATGAAACAGGCACTTTCTGTGACGAGTACCACCTACCTACATAGTATTTTTTACTATGCGTTTAAAAAACTTCATATGTTCTCATTCCAATGTATTTAAGATAGAATGCTTTTGAAATCACCATTTAATTATTAAGATTGATATTCATCTGTGGTAATTTTATCGTTGGAGATTTATTGTATTTGGAGTGAAAGATTGGATTATTTAAGAGTGCTTCATATTTCCAATAAAATATACGGAGTAAAAATATCAA